GTGTATAAAAGGGCATCACTGAGTGAGGATGTCTCATTCGAGAAGATGGCTCACTGAGGAAGACCTGGCTCGACACGAAGGCGAAGCTGCAACGTCGAGACGAACAACAATCATGGACCATCGACTCGGATCATCGGCTCTGAGGAAGACGAAGACGTCGAAACGTTAGCCGAAAATAAATATATTTATCAACCTCGTGCAAGCTTATCAAGAAAGAATACATATTGATTATTTCGAAACCGACCTTCCCTAAACCTCGGTGTGACTAATCAATACGTATTCATATTATCAGCTTATCAAGAAAGAATACATATTGATTAGTCACACCGAGGTTTAGAGAAAGTCGGTTTCGAAATGTTTTTGTGAGATTCGCGCGGAAAACGCTTGCTTCGAGGTTTACTGCACATTTGACGTTTTTCGTGAACATCGCTCGGAAAACAATTATCCGAAGGTTTAGCGCGGATTTGGCATTTTGCCGTGAGTTTCGATGGGAAAGCGCTTATCCTCAGGTTTTGCGCAGAATTGACGTTTTCGTGAACTTCGCTCGGAAAAGGCTTACTCCGAGGTTCAGTTCACACTTTGCGTTTTTCGTGAGCTTGGCTGGGAAAGCGCTTACTCTGTCGTTTAGCGCACATTTGACTTCTTCGTGGGTTTTACTCTCAAACCGCTTATTTCAAGGTTAAGCGCACATTTGACGCTTGTCGTGAATTCCATGCGAAAAGCTCTAATGAAAAGCCTTCATCTGTATTGTCTGTAGTTCCGCTGATCGTCGAGTGACCCGAGCGAGCGCGGTAAACCTTCAAATTACTGCTGTCGCTGCGCAAGAGTAGCCCAGTGGGTTCTGCTCCCTCTATGAACTCGTTGATCATTATATCTTTCTTCAAGACTTTTTATGAAAAACTCTGACCATCAGGTCGGTGGTCTTTCTGCTGTGCGTTTAATATTCCGAAGAGTCAAGTCATTAATGGTTTTTGTCAATCTGTTGTCATTCTTACCCATTACATGTGCGGAGACCGTATCTTGTACTGTTTTGCGTACAGGACGGCATCTTTTGTTTTGGATCGTTGACGCAAGTCGGAGCTTCGGATTCCTTCCCTTACTTGCGTGAAACGTGATACTCCTAGAATTGTTCTTTCGACTGAGCGTTCGATAACGCTGAGTGATTTTTCGTCCCGTTTACGCAGCGACCAGGTGTCTGAGGCATACGTCAAGGCAGGAAGTACCGTTGAGTCAAAAAGGTGACCACGGAGTCGGGTGTTCTCTGTTCTCCTCAGTAATTTCTCGATGTATTTCAGGACTACCCAAGCCGCTCGTTTCCTTTTGTTCGACTCTGGAGCTAAGTCGCTCATCTTATTGATTTCCCGACCTAGATAGACATAACTGGAGCATTCGATATCCGTTCCGTTGAGCGTCAGTGCGACACACGAAACCAATGTGTTCCTCATAAACATCGTTTTTGTGAGATTTAGTCGAAGACCAATCTTCCCATAAGCTTTATCAAAGTCGCCCAGCATACGTTCCACTTGGCTATTGTTTGGTGTTGTAAGGACGATTTCATCAGCAAAGCGAAGATGGTGTAACTGCCGACCATCTATTTCCACTCCCACATTATCCCATTCCATTGTTCGTATGACGTTTTGGAGAGTGGCGGTAGATAATTTTCGCGAGATGGTGAGCCTTGCCTAACCTCTCTATTGACGTTGTGTTGAGTTCAATGTACATCGCGCGCGTCGAAAAATGAAGGGAAGCATTGCTACCTAGGTCTCTACCCTCTTTTATTGCATAGAAATTAAGTGCATTTTACCAAATAACTATTTGATTTTTTAATACGCAACTTTTTATGTCCGGTTTATTATTTCATTTAATTCCTTTGTTTTTTTTAACATAATCAGTGATGCGAAGCCAGTGCTAGGAAGCCTACATGTTCGTGGCATTTCAACCAATTCTAGGAACGGAGTCCTTTTAGATGAAAAATATTATAAAGTAGAGTTATGCATTTTCAGAGCGCTGACTTTAATCACATCATTTGGCGCTGTTGTCTATTTTACATCCTCAAGTATGGCTTTAATCCGTGTGTGTATGCGGCCGCGTGGATATCCACTTTACTGTAGGCCGATGCTGAGCTGTACGCTTGTACTACTTCAGGTTACGGTGAGTTTTCAGTAAAAACAATTCTTCAGTACAATTTTTTTCTGTAAAACCTGTTTTTGTAAAATTTTTTATCTGTTATCAGCGAAATTTGGTAACAAGATGTTCTTAACAGTTTTTGCTCTAATATTGATGTTTGTCCTATGTTAGCGACTCCGAAAAGTAGATCCTTTCTCGAACTGTTAACGAGGTCGAGGCCCGAATTTTGCGTGTGACTCAACTGTGCCGCTGCATTTCTGTTCATAGGATCTAGTAGCTTTTAAAAGTAATGGAGCAGTCTGAGTGTCTAAACTATTTGCATGCAAAAATGACCAATGCCACAAAACTGTACAGGTTTTCTGTTAGAAAATGAAGTTAAGAAATCGGCCTGGTAGCCTGTTTCCTATCCGCTCACTCACCAGGGTTTTGCCAACGGTTAACTCCATCTTCAAACAACCTGTTTTCTATCCGTCCTCTCATCAGGCTTTTGCCAACGGTTCAGCCCTTCAAACAATGTTTGAACTTCCACCATATTAGTACAAGCATATTAATGAAAATGTTTCTGCTTTTGACTGATAAAGCCGAAACCTTTAAAAGTTGTGACAATTTTGTGAGTAGTACATGCTGATACCGATCTCGCGATGCTAGACTTGAAGAAAGTTAATCTCCAAATGAGGCCGCAAAATATCGTCTAATAAAGTCAAAATAGAGCGAATAATCGTACAAAAGGGATGAAATTTTATGACAGGACAGGATACGGGCACGAGAAGAGCATCGGTAAGCGATGTCTTGCAATACCACGCATGGTTGCTGCTTCGACCCTGTACAGAGCCTACCGTGTTTCCCATCCCTCTGGACTCGGCAATTTACTGAAAATATCGTATAGGAAAAGCTCTCTCCGATTCACAGTTATGGAAACGGGATCTGGTAAACAGTTGAAAACGATTGCTAGAGCTATCCCAGGTGTAGTAGCAGAACTCTTCACCAATTGTTGTACTGCTTGACATGACGAGAGAGGAGCATCCAGTGTCCGGTGTTTTATTAGCGATTAGGCAGTTGCTATCTCGAGTTCAAGGCCTAACTTTGCAAGTGCGTTTTTATACCATCACCATAAAGTAGTCTCCGTGGATTGGAGAAAAGTTTTTAAATATGAATATGGAAATACAGAAATAAAAGGTTTAGCGACTTTTTGGTGATGCCCTCGTAAGTCGATACACATGTACATGCATATGTGTTTGTATATGAACGTGTACGTATATATACGTATATTATTGTTTATATATACATTTATAAAGGATGAAGGATAGAGCTCTCGGCGTTGATCAATCCTTGAGGGATGCGCCATGCATTCGACTAAGCATCGTTTGGAAGTGACTGAATGCTTATATGGCCTTTACAATGACTCGCAGTGCTTACCGACATATCGAGCCAGCGTTGGTATCCTCCTAGACAACTCTGGTACCAATTTTCCGGCCCGGAGGCATGGAAGGCTTGATGAGCCACAGTTGCCGGGATTGCTCCCATATGTGTGGCAGGGCGACTCCGACCAATGCGCCAAACGTCGTTTAATGCATATATATATATATATATATACATAAATCTTTGAATTGTTGAAAGCTTGTTTTGAAGGGATGCCTTGTTCAACCAATGCGAAAAACGCTAAAAATTGGAATGATGTTTGTTGAAAACCGAACATCCTTGGATCCATATGTCGGCTACAGGTCGTTCATTTTCTTTAAAATTCTTCTGAATATTTTCTGTTTATGTTCTAACAAAAAAAGCTATTGAAAGGATTTGAAATACAGCCTTTTAGGACATCTGCTTCAGCTGTTCTCATTGCTAGAGATCGTATTATTAGGGAAGGACTACTCCCTGGAATTGATTTTGAGTGCGTTTTAACAAAAAAATTTTGACGGATTGATTCTGTTATATTAACTATTTATTTCACTTTTATGTAAATACTTTAGATATTTTATTGTTTTACTACCGTTTTCCACGATTTTCAATTTCCAGGTTCTTTCATGCGTTTGACGAGTGTGATGAAATGAAAGCCGCCGGTATAACAATAGCGATGGGTCTGAGCAAAGATGTTGATGTGATTCTTGGTCCAACGTGTAACACGCGTGAGTCCACTTAATTGTTTCTTAATCCTACCATGTTCCCGGCAATAAAAATTTTAGTCCTGACTTGTCTGGAATGTGCCTAGGTCCTCCCGTCCACGCCTGAACGTGAACGCCCTGCTACGGTAATTCCAAGAGTTCAAGGAAAATCCACTCGACCAGTATTCAATGACAGTCGTGGCGAAAATGAAAATACCCAAACAGTAGTCGAACCCAGGCGTGAAAAGTTAAGAGATTATACACACTGCATAAGAGGGCACCGTTGAGTGAAATTCTTTATTCGATTGGTGCTCCACTTCTTTGTGGACTTAACTCGATGCGATAACGACCACTATGGACTATCAACTGGGATCGATCCGGCTCTGAGGAAGATGAAGACATCGAAACGCTATCCGAATAGGTATCTTGTACCAGCCTCGTGTCAGGTTTATAATCCAAGAAGGTTCAAAGGTTTTCTAGAAAATTCTGTAACTCCTAGCCAGTCCTTATTCTTCTCTCTATATTTTTTGTAACCAATTTACTTGATATTTGGTGCCTGAACGGACCGTCATCACTAGTTGTGCGGGCCCCAGCATAATCGCCATTTTTCGGAGATTTGTTGGTTAAGCTATTGTGGTTCCCTGGAATTCCGAGGACAGCCTGGCCAAAGTCTGCTCCAGGTGTTCACCACCACAGGCAGTCGCAACCCTTGTGGATCAGAGGGAGATTGGCCACTATGCGACTTTGATACCAGGACGGTGGTGGATCCTGGTATTGGTTTACTCTTAGCTAGGCTTCCTGATGGAAGCGTCGGACTCCTTTTTAGCTTGGGAGACGCCGCTGCCAGTGGATGAATCCCCGCTGTACATCGCAGTCCAACACCCAGGAACATCTCCCAGCCACGATGAGGCGGTTAACCATCGGAATATTTGCAACTAATTACCAATGAAAAAGCAAAATTTCAATAGAAAGTCGCACATTTAGTTTAAATAATGTCTAAAATGCCAATTCGAGAAAAGTCACCAAAGAAACTAGACCGAGTGATTAATTACCAAGTTCTCTCGAAATTAATAGGACAAGCAATTGCAAAGCACACGTAGAATAGAACCACAGGCTACAAAAACTCTGGAAAGATTGCTGGTTCTGCAAGAAATCTTGTATTTTCCAGCTGCATTCGTTTCGGGAATCCTATCTGGCTATTATAACAAGCCCTTATTTACATGGGGTCTAAGCACGTCTTCAAAATTCAACAATGTTGATCGGTTTCCCACGGTTTCCTCTTTGGCGGTGAACTCATTGAGGTTGGTTTTTACACTAGAAAGCGGCTCTTAAAGCGATTTAATAAAGATTTCTTGAACCTAAGACACTTTATATTCTTGATGAGCAAATGCGTGGTGCTATTTTACTCTTAATTGCCATAAAGCTGGTGTTTCCGCAGACTTCGTCTTCCCCGGAGCCTGGAAAAGTCGAGTTGGCGGCGATCTGCCCACCTGCATAACCAAACAGAAAAAATGGTAAAACAAGATTTCAATCACATTGAACACAGAATGGCTTCTTTGCACGCTCGCCTCCTTCAATGAGTCTTCGACTGAGTATTCCACGTGGAGACCAACCGCACAGAGTTTACAAGGTAATGTGCCTCTCACATTAAAATAACAGTCTTAAATACTCTGTGTGATCACATGTGATTACTAGGCATTTCTCCCTGAGGTTCATTTTCGGATGCTTTGAATGTATCCAGAGTGCTTTGAGAGTTTTGCGCGCTGGTGTTTTCGGTTTCTCTTTAAGGATGTTAGCTTCTACTTCAGAATGTCCAACCTTTTATGTCTCCGTGTCCTATAGATGCCTTTTGGAATATTTGGTTTAGCTTTAAGCTTACCGAGTAGGTGATCTCTTGTACAGACGCAGAGTGGTCCACCCGCTTCACTAATGACTTCGTTTCCGCAGGCTTTGTAAGAGATTAGATAATCTTCACCCGAACTCGTGCAATCGCCGCTTCCACCGTTATAGCAAATTATGCAGCTTTGCGTACGTACATGGACGGTCATAGAGGTGGTTGCGAACTAACTGGCGTCTTAGTGTGCTCGGTGGCATTTCAATCACTGTTACTGAAATCTCTGGGCCGGCACTTTTTAAGCAAAGTTTTGTAATTTTACTTATTTCGTTTAAAATAACCGGCAGCAAAAAAGGACCTTGTTCTCTAGAGTAACGGAACTGTAGCTCTTCGGGACAGGTGTAGACGAAAACCCAAGCGCGAAAACTGCAACTCTGGCGATCATAAGGGCCCGTTTATGCTGCCTTCATTTCAAACGGAACAAGTGTAGCTATGAAACGTTGCATATGAAAGGCCGGTCTAGAAAATTCGGTATCCGTATTAGAACTTTCGCCGGACACCCTAAGATGCCAGTTAGTTCGTAACCGCCTGCATGACCGCCTGGGGTGTAACGTAAAACTGCATAATTTGCCCAGACGGTGGAAGCGGTGAATGAATGAGCTCGGATGCGGTTTATCTGGTTTCTTGTAAAGCGTGCGGAGCAAATGCTTTGGTTAAACGGATGGAGCACTTCTGGATAAAAGAACATCTACTCAGTAAACGTAAAGTTAAACCAAATACTCTACTAGGCTTGCAAAGTACAAGGAAACATTAAGGGGAAGATTTTGAAGTAAAAGTTAGCATCCGTGAAGATTAATCGAAAACATCAGCGAGCAAAACTCCATTCTAAATGCATCCCAGGAATGCAAAGATGAATCCCAGTGAGGAATGTCACATAATCACATGTGACATCGCACGGTATTTAAGACGGTTATTTTAATGTTAGAGGCAGATTACTCCTCCATGCATGCTCTGTGTGGTTGGTCTCCACGTGGCATAATAGATAGAAGACTCATAGAATGCGAAGGAGTTATTCTGTATTCAATGCGATTCAAATCTTTGTTTAGGATTTTCTTTGTTTGGTTATGGAGATGTTTAGCCAGGCAGATTGCAGTCAGCTTGACCTTCCTAGGCTCTGGGGAAAGCGAAATCTGCCGAAACGTCAGTTTCATAGCGAGAGAGAGTAACAACTGCTGTTAACTGAGCAAAGATATAAAGAGTTATTTGATTATCGTCGAGGTTAATAGAAGGTTGGTTGTGGGAATTACTAACCGAAGACCTTTTCGTTTATTTCTGTTCATTGCTTAATAAAACTAACTATCCATTATTAGTGTGATACAGGAATGTCAAGATCTTGCCGACTTTTGTCTTGTGTCCTTTTCTGTAGTCTTCGAATTGCTTTTCACCTTAGTGGTGAATTTTATGTAGTGATATACAGCAACGCTGTAAAAATCCACTTCCACAGCGGTAAAAGTAGCAGTGTATCAAAACTGACGATCAACAGATTCAATCCGTCATATTGTTAACGTTTGATTTGCTCCCTATTAAAATTTTGCACGGCAGGGTATTATGCGAAATACAACCACAATGATGCTGAGATATTTGCTAAACTACGGACCGCAGGTGTCTGCCGTGGGCATAGAACACGCTATTATACAGCCAAGTCCAGCACTGTCCACATAGAGAAACACCGTTTACTCATATTACCCTTTATCGAAACTTCAGTCTTGAAGAATACCACCGCATATGGTCTCGTTAGGCCCTTTACTCTTTTGTAAGCCACTGCCATGCTTGAGAACCAGTATTCTGCAAGTCACTGTTGATTTGCCTGAGAAATTCTTTGAAAGTTCTGATACAAGATAGTACCTAAATCTGCTATGGAAATTGTAAGTGACCACTTCCTGATTCTATACTCCGTCTTATGAAATTTGTAATATTTTAGAAGTCGTTGGAAACAGAACAGATGCTTAGTGCCGACCGTGTAAAAACACCCCTCCACTATCGTTGGTATTGTAGAGCAAAAGCAACCAAAGCTACTCGCATGTTAAACTTTGCATGAAGAAATTTGACCTGAAGAGGCAAAGTTGACTCGTAAGCAAGTAAGACTTGTTGGGCTGGGCTAGGTTATCACATTGCACACGCCCTTCCTTACCTACTTGATACTTGAACGACCCACCCTCACTGGTTGTGCGGACTCCAGCATAATCACCATTTTTCAGAAATTTTCTGGTTAAGCCATTGTGGCTTCCCAAAATCCCGAGGTCAGCCTGGCCAAAGTTTGCTTCAGATCTTCACCACCACAGGCAGTCGCAGCCCATGTGGATCATCAGATTAGCCACCATGCGACTTTGATACCAGGACGATAATGGATCGTGATCTTGGTTTACTCTTTGCCAGGGTTTCTGATGGAAACGACGACTCCTTCTCAGCTTGGGAGACCCTGCCAGGGAATGAATCTCCCGCTGTGCATCGCAGTCCGACACCGAAAAGCACCTCCCAGCCACGATGAGAGTAAACCGTTGGGAGAATTTCACGCCCCCAACGACCAGCAAATAGTCCATTCTACTTATAGTTTATTTCGAGTCTTAAAACAACAATTATGCAACAATTTAAACGATTACAGTAGCCTCAAATAACCAACTTTCTCGTTTTCCAAGATGCGAGGTATATGCCATAGGTCAGTGTTTCTACAGCTTATCAGGTAGGACTGCTGAAGTATACCCAAGAGATAGCACATAACCCTTGATATGCATGGTATACATATTTTTATCCACAACTAACTAAATCAAAAAACATACGAAAGCAAGGCAAAATAATGAAGCGGTGGTAAATTAATAAAAATGGAAATCGAAGCTGGAGGAGACCTCTGACTTAACGTATCCCTCTAATTATTCTGCATTACTGCAAGGATTTTATACCCTTCTACTCGCCTTCGTCTTATATTTCCCACCAAACTTTTTCAATTTTCTACCATTTTCAATTAATCTTAGTAAAGAACACAATGTCAAGTTGTCTCCAACAAGAGTCTATTCTGAACGAGCACGCTCTTATCATGGCGGTCATGAAAACATTTATTTCAGTATTAGCAAGGCTTTTCGCTCAATTCTTCAGTATTTCGGATGGAACCAATTCGCGTACATTTTCGAGAAACAGGACAGTGATCCAGTGTGTAACACGATGAAGGACGACATACAGGTGATAGCCCTACGAAAATTCTTTGAAAGTTTTGTCTACGAATGGCGCTCATTCACATGATGTGTGCATGTCACATTAACAGAATTGGGTATATGAAATTTGAGATGCGAAGAAATATTTGCCAGTTGCCACTAGTAATTGTATAACCATCGAGTACTTCTGGAAGCTCAGCAAAAGACTGTACACTTTTCCTCACAAGTAAATACGCTACACACTGACATCCGTTCCTTCCAAAGGCACGAGAAGCACCGTAATTTTGGAGTGACCGTTTATTTTATTGTTCCAAGCAATCAAATACGAAGGTTAATTGCGGAAGTTTGTCTCGATATAGCCTCATTCGTAGGCGGTTTTCAGGGTTTCAACTTATTCTCATTGTTGGTAGAGAGATACATAATCTACCGGTGCTATCAACAGTCATGTGTCAACAGAAATGATCTGGACTGTGATTTGGGAAGCAGTTCAGCTTAACTGAATTTGATACCGATTTGTGTCTTTCGGATCGTTCCTGTTGACAGGTGAATACCGATGAAATTGATATTGCTGATGGCAAAAAAGATCGATAGAAGTAGCTGAGATGCGCGCAAAGCGAAGGACCCGGATGGTGTAGTGGTGAAGTGCGCTGCTCCCCGGTAAGGATAACAGCGCGTGTTCGTTCGTTCTCCACTGCATACACCTGTGGTCCGGAGTTTTGCAAATATCTCAGCATTTCATACGAGTTATACTTCGCAACATAACCTGGAAAAAGGCAGCAAATAAAAGAGTTAAGAAATTGTTATAGTTAAAAATGCCTTATAGAAAGACAAAGAAAGGGCCTTGTTTGGTGCAGTACGGGTTCCAAGTCCCCGGAATGGGTAATCGTGAATTCCGCCCCTAATTGAGGCTCCCAGTTTTGCTCGTATCTTAGCATCTTTGTGGTTATAGTTAACATCGTATCTTACCATGTAACAGGAACAGCCAAAAATAAAAATTAAGGCGTTGTGATTTTGAAAAAACGTGTTCGGACCACTGTAAGGAAGAGGTGCCTTAATTCATTGATAGGGTGATCGGTGGCTGTTGCCACATATTTTTTCGGCTAACCTTTCAACTTTTTTCTCTTCATTGGAGTCGGTGATTCGCCTCACCGAGTTGGATCTCCTTCAGTGGGAGTGAGATAACCTCACCCAGCAGCGCTTTGCCACACAGCACGTCTGTTGTTGGTACAAGTAATCGTTGATAATTTTGTTTTTAAACGGATAATCCATCGTACAGAATTCAGTATTATATATGCCTGCACGTATCGAAATGATATCATTGCGAACGAACTCTCATTTAACCTCGGCACATGGTTAAGGAACCTTATCTTATTGATAATCTAATGCGAGATTGTTACCACATTTTTATTCGACTAGCGTTTCGATGTGGAGAAGAAGAACGACTGTTGACCATCAACTCGTACCATCGGCTTTAATAAAGATTGAGACGTCGAGACGTTAGCCAAAGAAATACGTGGTAACTTCGTTTTAGCTTACCAAAGAAATAAATGACGTTGACCATTTATACTAAAGTAAAATGAAGGTCGGTTCACAATAAGGAAGAAGTGTTACGCTTCAACTAGACCAGATGTGTCAAAATTGAATACTTAAGGGAGCAAAATGAAAGCATAAGTTAATGAAAGAAAACTTTGGAAGCCGCATTCTCCGCCGGTGTAATTATAAATGATTCCCATCTATATTCGTTCAGTTTCCCATAAAGGTGATGGGTCACAGACAAGCAAGTTTTGTTGTCGAAAGAAGACTTTTTCTTGAAATAATCTCCTTGAATCGTCTTTGAATATTTCCAAAGCAAACAGCCGGTGGATTCCAGCAAAATGGCATAATGTGTGTTTGGTGTTCCATTTTTTATTTTTGAGTAGTTGCAATTAACAATAAAATTACTCTAATGTGTTTTAATAACTAAAGCTACTTTTCTTCACTAAGCTTAACTGCACGATACTATGAAGGGGGCATGTGGCGCAGTGGTTGGAGGCGCCACTGCGACACACGAGACACGATTTCCGCGCCCATGATTCACCAAGTCTTCAACCCCTCGGAGTCGGCAAATTGGTACTGGACTTGTCTGGGAGGACAGCACTGGTTCGATATATCGGTAGGCCACCGCGAGTAAGCCACCGGTAGTATAAAGGCCAGATATGCATTCAATCACCTCCAACGATATTTAACGAAGTCGAATGCATGGCGCATCCTTTAGGGATTGATCAGCGCCGAGAGCTTTATCTTTTTTATCCTTTAAGCTTAACTCTTATCGATCAACGCTCTAACAGATTTCTTCCAAATCATCTCATCAAAGTGCGTTAATAAGTGGTCAGAACTTCAGGAGACGGCAACAGATTTTGAAATGCTTCACACTTGCAAATATCTCTCAAATTCGGCAGAGTTTGCTATTGTGAACGTTGAATTATTCATCCTAAAGCTACTCCCCAGTTAAAAAACGATTGAGTTTTGTCAATAAAATGTGCAAATTGTATAGTATTACTAATACGATAATTAACTCCTTGATTTCCTACCGAAGCAAAACTTGTTGCTTTCAGGCTGTTATTACGCAAACTGAAGGCCAGATCAACATTAACTATTTGGCAGAAATCACTTCGATGAAGCCAGAGACAATAAAAAATGTGCTTGAGGAGGTGGCGAAAAGAGCTCGAAGTAGGTCTTCGTAGAGGCGAAAAATCTCACATCGTTTGCTCATGATTTGGCGTTTATTTTATGCAAAACACGCTGTGGTGACCCATTTTGAATGAATTAAACGTGGTTAAATTAACCCATGCAGTCTAATAAGAAAATTATAGCACTGAAACTAGGACACCATTAGTTCTTAAGTCTGCTGTTAGTTTTTCTTTTAAATTCTGCCGCTTTTTCTGAAAAAGGTAAAAGGTGCATTGCACCCAAGGCACTTCCTTTTCAGTGTCTCCGCTTGTTTCGCAGATCTTTTCATTTTCGTTTTAAAGCAATTCCTAGTTCTGACTTTCTATTGATTTCGACATTGATCAACGATATTGTGTCTTGTGGGTAAACCGGCACGAGGTTGTAGAGACAATATTTATTCTACAATCGTTGACGTTTCGGTGGATCTCCTCGTTTTCATTACATGAAAAGGTCATACTACGCGCAATCTACTTTGCTGAATGCTTTCATAACTCCAACAGAAAAATTCTCGGAATCTAAATTTTAACCACGTGGTAAGCAGTTCCAACTCATCGTATTTCTGTTTCTTTTCTACTTATTGTTGAAGACCAGCTCTAAAGAAATTATGTATTACGAAGTTCGTCATGATGAGCACTTCTCACTTTTCTGGTCGGCTACGATGGTCTTCGTTGTTGATGCCTCAGCCTGAATTTCTAACATGGTAATTAATCCTCTATCTAATCCGTACATCAATAACCGCATAACGAATTTAACACATTAAAGGTTTATGTAAAGGATAAATGATAAAACATTAGGTGTTGAGCAATGCCAAGCGGTTTCAGTGATTCACCTGTGCCACCTGTAGTCCCGTTGATCAGCGAGTTACTCGAGGCAGGGCCAGTAAATCTTCCATTGTTCCCTGTCGCACGCAAGAATATGCCAGTGGGTTCTGCTCACTCTAGAGACTCGTCGAGCATCATATCTTTCTTCCAGGTTCTTCATGAAAAACTCTGACTATCGGGGTCGGTGGTCTTCCTGCAGTACGTCTGACATACGTGTCTGGACCACCTTATATTCGACTGTTTGGCATTCTCTCCGTACTCGTCCTACCCAACGTTGCCGAATTGAAGGTTTTTTCGGTGTCGGTGGAATGAGGCCCGTTTCTTCTACAGTTTTTAGCTTTTTTATACCCAGGTATTGCTTGCTGGGCTCTGAGCGTGGGGCTCGGTATACTCACGGTTAGCTTGCGTCGTTTTCTTGTTTAACAATCGCGAGTTTGTTAAACAGCATACTTTAATTTCTTTACGAAAACACAATACAATACGAGGTGTTATTATTCTTTGCTCACGATTAAGCTTACGTTTCGGCGGATTTCGCCGAATATCTTTTATCGAATATCCGAATATCTTTTTTTTCCGAATATCGCTAAAGAACATCAAACAGATCACATTAGGATAGGTAATGTGCAAGAAAATAAAAGGCTAACCGTGTTAGGAGGCATAACTCTCCCTGACGGTGCACGCTCGTTATTAGAATTGGGGCCGAGTTTCTCACCATCTGAACCGATTTCTAAGATAACCTTGCGTAGGGTCGCATGTGGTTTACATGAACTTCAAGATAGACTCCGCAAAAAAGCTAGAGATGA